CTTCCTCCCCGGCTATGGGAGCTGGCCATGAGCGCGGGCGCTGCTGCGGTGATGCAGCCCCAGGCACGGGCTGCCTTTTCTGCAGAGGGATGATGGCACAGGAACACAGCCCTGATGTTCTGTCTCTCTCACCAGGTGGTGGAACAGGGTTCGTGGGCAGAGCCCTGACCCAGCTGCTGCGGAGCCGAGGGCACCAAGTGACCCATGTGTCACGAAGAGGGGGCACGGATCGGATCAGCTGGGTATGAAATGAGAGCAGTCACAGCAGGGCGAGTGTGACAGGGCTGAGAAACCAGGCTGCGTGCCGTGGCTTTCCATGGCATGGAGGGACCCTGCCAAGGGAGGTCTGGCTCCTCTGGGTGTCCTTTTGCTGGGTGTTCCATGGGTCACAGTCATTGGAATGGGTACTGCTGTAGCTCTAAGAAGCAAAACCTTCTCCATTTGTGCTTGTCTCTCCAAATGTCAGGAAGAAACTGGGTGAAGTTCTTGGCAGCCTGCTCTGCTTATTTGCAGGGAAGGCTTGAGCAGAGGGGTGGCCTGATTTGTCATGTCTGTCACTCCTGCCTAGGAGGAGCTGTCCCACTCCGGGCTGCCCCTGTGCGAAGCTGTGGTCAACTTGGCTGGTGAAAATGTCCTCAACCCTTTCCGCAGGTAACTTGATGTTCCATAGTGCTCTTGAGACAAGGTGGAGTCAAGACAAGCCAGTGTTGTCAGGGAATGTGGAAAGGGAGGAAACAACATGACCAGGAAGCTCTTGAGTTGACCTTTGCACCCTCAAGTGCCCAGAATATTTCTGTGGGCCTGGTAGGTTCTGAGAGACCTTTGGAAGAAAAGTTCCCTCCTGGATCTACAGCTGGAGGCCAGAAACATTAGTTCCACATTTCCAAAAGAACAATGGGGGGCATGCCTACATCCAAAGTCTGACTTCTGGGAGGAGCACCAGCTTTGGTGTCTAGATCCTTTGCTGACTTTGAAGGCAGTCCAAAACCTTCAGTCTTGTAAGGGAAGAGCCACCATCTCCCAAAATTCCCCTGCCTTTGTGCTGTAAGATGACATGTCCTCCTTTGCTGTGAGGTGAGGGGAGTTCCTGTGACCTCTCCTCAGTGCCTTGTGCAGGCTGGCCTAGAACAGAGACTGGACAAAGCTAAAGAATAAAGCAGGGATTTATTAGGATGATGGATGGATCCACCTTGGGCAGCGCAGGGCTACACCCAAGATGAACCAAAATGGTCACAAAATGCCCCACTGGTCACAGGGTCTCTCACTTTTATAAGCTCTGCTCCATTTGCATATTGGAGGTAATTGTCCAATTAGAGAATTACAGAATAAAGAAGGGATTTGCTCAAAGGATCTCCTCCATGGATCCACCTTGGGCACTACAAGAGCCCAGCCAGGGCTGCACCCAAGGTGAACCAAAATGGTCACAAAATGGTCCCAGAATGAACCAAAAATGGTCACAAAATGCACGACAATTTTGTGACCATGAGGTCTCTCACTTTTATAAGTTCCGCTCCATTTGCATATTGGAGTTAATTGTCCAATTCCAGGTTTGGCCCATGCAGTCCCATCCTTGTTTTTCTCTCTTCAGCCCATGGTGTTTGTGCTCTTGGCCTGAGATTTGGCTCATTTGTCCTTGGTCCCCAGCTGGAGCAGGAATTGTTTTGTCTCCCTGCTCTGTGCACAGAGCTCACCATCCCCTAATGTGAACCCAGAGCCACCCACTAAAGCAGCACAGAACCTGAAAAATATAAAAACTAAAACCTGAGGCATCACCCTGTGCTTGTGTGCTGGTGTTGGCTGGGGTCCCCCTTGGTGGCAGTGTCCTGTGAGGTGTTTGATCCCTGGCTCTCCCTTTCCCAGGTGGAATGATGACTTCTGCAGGGAGGTCGTCAGCAGCCGGGTGGAGACCACGAAGGCCTTGGCCAAAGCCATCGGTGCTGCTGAGCAGCCTCCCCGTGCCTGGGTCCTCGTCACTGGCGTAGGTATTGGTTGGGCCTGGCCAAGACAGCACTCCTGCTGACCTGGAGAGGCCTTGCCTGCAGACAGTTCCTCAGGAGCACCTTCTTGCCTTGAAATGTCAGCTGTATTGCCATCAGTGTCACTGTGTTTAGGCAAGCCTTAATAAGCTTTTAGTGCTGCCGGAGAGGAATTTGGCTCCCTGTGCTTTGTCTAGGGCAGTTCTGTGTTTTCCTGTGAAAGCCTTTAGGCATCTTGTAGAATCAGTTTGTGTCAGTAAGGCCTTCTGCATAATCTCCAACTTCCTGCTTGCTGCAGTCTTTAAAGCTGAGGTTTATCTTTAAAGCTGCCATGGTTTAAACCTTCCAGCCAGCTCAGTGTGTTGTTTGTAGGCCTGTTTGGGTTTTGGGGCTGCCTGAGTGTTAGTGCATCCTGCTGAACCTGTAGAGCACATTGGTAGTTCAAAAACTTGTCAGGATCAGAGACCCTGAGCTGTTCTTGTGAGGGTGTCCCTGGTGGAGTGATCAAGCTCTCAGAATCCCAGAATGGTCTTGGGTTGGAAGGGGCCCTAAAGCAAATCCAGTGCCATGGACAGGGACACCTTGCACTGTCCCAGGGTGCTCCAAACCCCATCCAGCCTGGCCTTGGGCACTTCCAGGGATCCAGGGGTGGCCCCAGCTGCTCTGGGCACCCTGTGCCAGGGTGTCCCCACCCTCACGGGGTAGATTTCCTTCCTAGCAGCCAGTCTAAACTGACTTTCAATTTGAAGCAATTCCCCCTTGTCCTGGCACTCCAGGCCCTTGTAGTCTCTCTCCAGCTTTCTTATAGGTTTCCTTCAGGTACTGGAAGGTTGCAATTAGGTCTCTTTTCCAGGCTGAACAATCCCAGTTCTCTCAGCCTTTCCTCACAGGAGTTCTGGGCTCCTGGAGGCAGAGAAGGTCTGATGGGAAAGGGGGGCTTGGTGTGATCATTCAACCCTGACCCCCTTTCTGCTGTCACACTGCAGGTTTTTACCGGCCCAGCCCCACAGCTGAGTACACTGAAGACAGTGCAGGAGGGGATTTTGACTTCTTCTCACGCCTGGTGAGCTCGTGGGAGGCTGCAGCTCTCATCCCTGGGAGCCCAACTCGTGGTGTTGTGGTGAGATCAGGTGAGATGGGGCATCGTGCTTATTAATGGGGATTGCTTTACTGCTGGGAAGAGCTGGGTAAAGGGCATCAGTTCTTCTCTTTTTCCTTGTTGGGGTGCTGTTCCAGCCAGCCCCTTAAGGATTCTCCTGCTTGTTGGTGTGGGTGTGGAGGAGGTTTTGCCCTCTGGCAGCAGCACCTGGTGTCACTCTGTTCTCCCCACAGGTGTGGTGCTGGGTCGAGATGGAGGCGCAATCTCCCAGATGCTCTTGCCTTTCCGCCTGGGACTCGGAGGCCCCATGGGCTCTGGACTGCAGCCCTTCCCCTGGATCCACATCCAGGACCTGGCTGGGATCGTGTGTCACGCCCTGGAGACGGAGTCAGTGCGAGGCGTCCTCAACGGCGTTGCCCCGTCCTCGCCTGGCACCTCCAATGGCACCTTTGCCCAGGAGCTGGCGGCAGCGCTGGGGCGCCCGGCGCTGCTGCCGGTGCCCGCCTGGGCCGTGCGGGCCCTCTTTGGGGCAGAGAGGGCGGCCATGCTGCTGGAGGGACAGAGGGTGCTGCCCAAACGCACCCTGGAGAGCGGCTACCGCTTCATCTTCCCTGAGCTGCGTGCTGCTCTCAAGGACATTGTGGCTTGAGGCCTCCCCACCTGGGCTGGGCCCTGTTTGTGTGAGCTCCCCGTCAAAGAGGGGAGCCCTGCCCCCTGACACTTCCTCATCCACGTACAGCAGGGGTGAGCAATCCTCTCTCCCTTATCTCACTGTTTAGGAATCATCCCTCTTCCTGCCACCTGAGTCTTAACATCACCTGCACTTGGGGAAGGGCAGGAGCCCCTCACAGGACTGGGACTGTGGGTTTGCCCATCTCCCCTTTGGCATGGTGTGCGTGTGAACTGCTGGCAAAGCAGCTGGGGGTGTCCTGACTTCTCTCCTGAGAGATGTGGCAGCAGGAAACAGTCCTAATGCTGTTGTGATTCCTCCATGGTACTGAAAGTTGCCCTTCCTGTTTTTCCCCACGATGACAGGCAAAGCAGAGCAGCTAAAGTCTCTTGGTGTTGGTGGTTGTGGGAGGAGATGCATCTTAGAGTGCTGAATACAAATTGCTTGGAGACTCTGTCCTCTCTTGTGGCTGGTACCAAGTTGATGTGTCAGTACCTTCAGTTGAGTCTAATCCAGAGTTACAGCCTTCCAGGGTTGCATTCCCCCTGTGCTGGCAGGGATGAGGGAGAGCCCTGCTTTGCCAGCCTCTAGAGGAAAGGGTGACAGTCAGACTGTGGCCCCTGGACTGCTTTGCCTTGGCTGAGTGCCCATCTAACCTTGAGCTCAGGAAAGCTGAGTGGTGCATCCCTGTGTGAGCTTTGGTCACAGCTTTAGTCCAAAGGAGCATTTCAGCTATTGCCTTCCTTGTGCTTACCTCACACCAGGGTGGTTTTCTTTTATTGATCCCATGAGGGGGTGCTGGTGTTCAGGTGTTCCCCCTGACTGGCCACTGAGGGTATCCCAGCTGCCTGGTCTGCCTTGGGAAGCAGAACCTCTTCCCTTGTACAGCAAATTGCAATTCTATCATCTCACAGTGACAGAAAATGCATCCATGTGCTTCCCTTGACCCACTTCCATATCCCAAAGGGGGTTACAGGGTGTGAAGTCCACAGAGCAGTGAAGATCATTGTAGCAGTACTTCTGGGGAAATACTCCTAGTGTGATGTAAGCTGGGGCTAGAAAATTCTATTAAAAGGCACTTCAGGCAGATAAAGACCTACACTTTGCCATCCACAACAGCAGTCCACTCATTTCTGGTTTATGCCAGAGTAGCTGAAGGATCAGTTGTGGTGAAGTCTAGATGAGTCTCCTGTCTCTTTGCTCAGTACACATTGGAGACATGAGCAGGCTGAGCCTGGAGTTGTGGTCTCATTCTGGCAGAGCTGAGTGATCTGCACTGCTGCCTTGCTTTGGGGTTAGCTCTGGGCTGACTGCTGAGCTGCAACACAGTATTAAATACAGCAAGGCTTAATTCAGAGTTTTCTGTAGCAGTCGTAGTTCTGCACCATTTGTATTGTTAATCTGCTTTAAACATTCTTTCACTAATTGTAAGACACTGATTGCCTAATTAAAGTTGGTATTTCCCTTCCTTGTACCCCTTGATTTCCACTGACCATGGATTTCAGTAAAACCTTTGATTCCATTTTCCACAGTGCTCTCCTGGAGACACTGGCTGCTCCTGGCCTGCATGGGCATACCCTGCACTGGGTACAAACCAGTCTGGGCAGCTGAGTGCCAGGTGGGGAAGGGTTAAACCCAGGTGGGGAAGGGTTAAACCCAACTGGTGGCCCATCAGAGCTGGTGTTCCCCAGGGCTCAGTACTTCTTAGTCCTTTTTAGTGTCTTTCACCAGTTATCTGGATGGGGAGGTGTGGTCACCAATTGTGGTGTTGTGAGGGTCCCCAGAACAAGGTGAGAGATGAGAATTGACTCCAAGTTCTCAGTAGTATGATATATTATTTTATGATATTATATTAAAAGTATAAACTATACTAAGAAAAGAGAAAGGAGATATCGGAAGGCTGGACAAGAATGAATAATAAAAACTCATGACTGACCAGAGTCCTGACACAGCTGGACTGGGATTGGTCATTAAGTTAAACAATTCACATGCTGTGTAAACAATTCTCCAAATCACATTCCAGAGGAGCAAAACATTGAGAAACTGAGGCTTCTCATCTTGCCAGGAGTAGAAATCACGCAGAAGGGGTTTTTCATAAAATACCACCATGACAAGGGGGTTGAGTGCACTCTTAGTAAGCTGGCAGACCCAGCTTGGATGGCATTTTTGGGGGGTTGGGAAGGCTCTGCAGAGGGCCATGGGGTGGTGCCAGTGGCAGGAGGCTCATCAGGGCCAAATGTTGGCTCCTGCACCTGGGTCACAACAAATCCCTGCAGTGCTCCAGGCTTAGCCCTGAGGGCCTGGAAAGCTGGAAGGACCTGGCCATGCTGGGTGACAATGGCTGAGGATGAGCTCCGTGTGCTCAGGTGGCCAAGCAGGCCAGTGGCGCCATGGACACACAGAATAGAGATCCCTCACCCAGTCAGGAAATCCAGGCTGCACTGAGCAGCAGCAGGGCACGGCCAGACAAGTGTGGTTCCTCCCTAAACATCCCTAGCAAACCTTGGAACCATCTGAGATGCTTTTCTCCCTCCATTCCATAATGGATCCTTTATCCCCTGGGCATTAACTCTGCCTCAGGCTGTGAGCTGACCCCAGAGCTGTTCCCACTGACCCACTGGAACAGGTCCCACACCCAGCCAGGGGCTGCTGGATCTCCTGGCACAGCCCTTGGAAGAGCTGGATCAGTGTCCTTTTCTCTGCTTAGGTTCCTCTCTGGTTTCTCTACCTGCTGGTGGGTGTCTGTGCCCCTTTGTGCATGTGTAGACCAAGCTTTTATTGTATAACCAGAAAAATTCACTTTGTGAAGGAGCAGAGCAGTGTTTTAATCACTGCCCGGAAGGCTTTACTGATAAAAATCCTGTAGCAATGACTGAACTTTTTTATTTCAAAGCACAATTGAACACAAGCTCCAGGGCAGCAAGTTGTGAGAGTTATAATTTGAGAGTCTGTGGTTATGAGAGTTATAATTTGCGTTTTTTCATCTTGCAAAGGGAAGGAGTCACTACACTGCCATGAAAATTCCCATTTTAATCCTGCTCCAATTATCACAAAGTTCCTTCATCTGCTCATGTCCTCATCCACATGACGTGAAGCACTACAAGAACTTTTTAATTAGCCCCAAAGTGACAAAATCTAGTTTTGCTAATTATATTATTGTTATTCTTTTTTGAATGACCAGAAGCGCAAGGTGATTTGGGATTTTGCTTTCTTTTTGAATCCCATCATTTCCCTTCACAAAGGCATCATGAATTCTATAAGGGAAGGTTGTTGGAGTCCTCTGTTGGAGGTAGGTTTGCAATCATCTCCTCTGAGTAGAGCTGTGCTGTTTTATCTTGTAATTTGAGAATGAATTCTTGTAGCCTGTGTGAAGTTGGATCACAGAAACAGGAGTTTGCTGAAGGTATTTCCTCTTTCTGCCAAAAATACTGCAAGGATGAATAATTCCACATGCTGCCTGTGGCAATGATTATATTGTGAAAGAGGAAATTACCTGAAAATGTTTATCAGTTTTTTAATATATAATCTTACTTAACAGAGTCAGCTTCCATGTGTTGGGAGAGGTCTGAGGGAAGGCAGGCATGACTCTGCTGTCTCAGCATTTCTGTATTTCAGGTTTTTGCTGCAGCTCAGTCTTACTTTTGTGTTAGGGGGATTACTGAGACAAAAGAGAAAGGCTGGATTAGAGTTGAAAGCAAATTGCTTTTTCTCTCCTCCAAGATTCTGTGAAAATACTATTTTTAAATGGGAAATGAGAACAAAGAATCCACAGTTAAAACTGTGGATTGTTAGAAAACATGATTCCTTACCAAAAGTGGTTTTCCTTTTTGGATCTGTGGAAAAAGATCTGCAATTTTCAAGCAGAAAATAGGATTAATTATATAAGGCTTTAAAATGGAATTATGCACTGACACTAAGGAGGAAATTGTTATGGGAAAAAATTACAGTATCCCTGCAGAGTATTCACCAGAGGGAATGGAAATGTGCAGAGAGTTCTTGTTTCTACAGTTCTCTGAAATTCCATTTTGGCAATAGTTTAACAGTTTATAGGGGAAAATAAAAAAGCTGTGGTTTATTGTAAAAAATTAGATTTTTGTTTCAGCAGCCAAGTAGAAGTAATAACTTCCCATCAGGGAAATGGCTCTGTCACCTTGGGCTGTGGGTGCAGGTGAGCAGCTGCCTTTTCTCTTAGAACTTCCCCACAGTGTTTCCAAATTCACTGAATTTAATGCATGGAGAGGAGAGAAATCTCTGTGGAAACCTTTCAGCAGAATTCCTGCACCAGGGAGCGGCCTACAAGAGAAACAGAGAGGGATTTTACACAAATTCATGTGGTGACAGGAGTTGAGGACAGGAAAATGGAGGAAGGAGTCAGTACACTGGATGGCAGGGCAGGAATTTGTAGGGAGAGTTTGGAGAAATAGTTTGGCATGAATGTTATGAAGTCTGACATAAGTAAATATTCATCCTGCTTCTGGGAGAGGACAAGCCTGTGCAATCAGCAGAGGCTGGAGGCCAGGGAGCAGCTTATTGAAGTTGGAGGGGAGACGACCCACCTTGC